TTAGCAACATAAGCAATCGTTACTACGATACTTTAAAGTAAGTTAACAACATAGCACAACGCTACAGCTTCGCCCAATGCTGCCAATCCGAGTGTCACGTCGCATCTCAACTAGGATCATTGAATCAGTCAGAATCGCTCGTCGTATGTGAAACCGAATACTGTTAGTATAACAACGACCTGACACCGATCGAGGCGCATGGTCGAAAACAAGGACATTCCGAGTCTGATTAAGTAACTGACTCAACCGAGAAGATTGACCGTGATGAGGAGGTTGATGTGCTACGTGATTATCTCACTAATTTTGAGATGCCGTCGTGACAACAATTTGTTTTTTGGTGGTAAAGCAGTGGAATCTGCATCTTTCATAATGATATTGGAGAGTAAACAGCAAGAAAACGCACATTGAACAACCGGGTTAACACAAAAATCAGTCCGCAAGAAAGCGGTGACAAAAAAGTGGACTGCATTTTCTTCAATGCAACTTGAAGTACCAGGATCATGTGGACACCACCACCACGACACAATTCCGAGTTAATGATCAGGTTTATCTAATTTATACTTCTAACCAAACCATTGAATGAATGATTGTATTATGATAGCGTCTTCAAAGTATACGAAGGCGATTTTTCTAGACAACATGGAAACTATGAAATGTGAAATAAGTTGATATTTATTTAAGAAAATTATTATTAAGACGATGGTTATCGAAAAATAACATGATCGTGACGATTGGTGCATAATTACAATAATATCAACACTTGCTTTAATGATATATGCCGAAACATTTCAATTTCAATAAAGCTGATTTTCTTTACCCGTCTACGCTGTCTTAATGTCTGTGTGCGCGGACACGACACATCCAGGCACCTTGAGAAACGAATCAAAGTCGTACTTAACATCCTTTGGACAACAGCTCCAAAATTTGCCGGCATCGTGGAAGACAGGAGGACCTGCATGATGCTTGCACGACGTATCTGTATTCTCAACTACTACATACTCTTGCTGGCATCCATAATTGACGCAGTTTGCTTTGCCATCAGTTCGCTTGGGAGGTGGAGCTGTCTGACTGCTCTTAGCTGCAGAGACAGCAGTCACCGCGTCCGGGTTTTTCTGATTGTAGTCTTCAATTGACTTAAGTGAAGACGCTGGTGGCACAGTAGCACTAGCCGAGTTTGCTGCCGCATTCTCAGCTGCTGCCACGGTCGGTGATGCGGCAAACTTTTCATTCGGTCCCACGTCCGAATGGCGACCGGTAACGCATGGCTCGATCTTCTCAAAATCGTCCCAATCGTACACCATTTTAGACGAGCAGCACTGCCAGCCTTTCTTCATATCGTGAAAAAGCGGTGGGAGGCTGTGATGGCGACACGCCTGGTCAGAGTTTTCTTCCTCCAAATACTTTTTCTGACAGCCATGATTTTTGCACTGCTTATACTTTGCGTCCGATGTGACAGAAGCAGCGCTGTCTGCATCAACAATTGCATTCACGAGTGAGTGTATAACATCAACACTGTCATAGCTCGTAGTTAAATCCTGCTTACTTTGAGCGCGCACGGGTTTAGGCATGGATTTACCAGGTTTGAGAAACAGGTCGTCGTACTTCTGCACTGCCGTGTGTAGTAGTTCATCGCCGAAAAGTATCGCGTTGCCTTTTTTTTCTAAATGCATCTCAGTTGCATCCAGCACATTTTCCGGCTTTTTAGTATTGTAATGTTCTACGAAGAACTGCATATAGCATGGTAAGCACATGAAAACTACACCAATTCCAGAACATTCGATAACGCACATCCTTGAGGTAATCGACAGTGTGGCCTGCCCATTTGGACGGCAACACCATTTTGAGAGTAAGTGTCTGTACTTCTGTACCATCCTCGTAATGCATGTACACTTTTTTGGGCACTGCACCACTGGCGTCGTCATCTTCTTGATGTTTGCAAAAATGCCACCACAGTTATCAAATTGAGCTTGAAAGTGGACCACCTCAATTATTCCAAGATTTCTAGAATACATAATAAATTTCATCAGTATTCAAGTAACAAATTACTGGGATCCGCACATTCATTTGTTGCACGACCTTCATTCTGATTTTGCGCCATGCGGGGCGACCGTAGCATGGACATAAGCCTCATGGTCTGTCTCCGTATCGTTTCTTCTACCGTTATGGTCTAACTTTTATAAATTTGTACAGTCCTTTGGAGGCAAGACGAATGTTGTGCTAGAGTTAGGTAGACGGCTAATCCAGCCCGAAGAAGAATGGAAAGACAAATGCGAAGCATTTACAGAATTGCGTAAAATGCTTCAGGATAATACGACGCTGCAAAAAGATGTAGTTGATGAAAAGGAGACTGCAGTAGCCGACAACGTTGCAAGCCACTTTACGCCCGAGAACGTACAGGCACTAACGCAGCCTTTCCGTGTGACATTGACGGATTTGCGCTCAACGATCGTCAGGGAGGCATGCACCACACTTTCATTATTAGCCAGGACATTAGGACCTCTAAGATGCAAGATCCTAGTGCGGGATGTATTTCCTACGCTTCTTGACGCACGGGGTGGCTCGAACAAAGTGAGATACGATCAATTTAACGACAATGTATTAAGGGTTTGCAGCTCATTCGTTGATGCTGTAATAGGTGAACACTGCAGCTATCCACAATTGTATCATATCTATCGTGACAGCCACTCCAAGTCGATTTGTGCTGGTGCCTGTGTTGCAAGTGCTACACTCTAGCAAGTACGATGAAACCGTATAGCCCGCATGAATTTATACCTGACCTGTTGTTGATTTTCATAATTTCATGTTAAAGAAATCGCGAAATGCGCGAAAGTTGTATTCATTATACACGTTTGGCATTGGAAAGATGGAATATTGCTGTTCTTGAACGGCACAAAATACCTCTACAATCGGCAATTGCGGTAAGCCCGCATCGTATTAATGTCGTGACGTGACAACAATCACCCAGTGTAGCTCCATGTAGGCTGCGCTTAGCGATGCATCACCAAAAGGACGAGAAATGGCTCGCGATTGTTATTGGTAGTAACAGATTGTATGGATTATGTGAAGCTCTTGAACGAGTACCTGACTATTGTTCATAGGAACTACATCTCAATCTGGCCCAACGAAGTTGAACGGTACACTTCGACAGTTCACTAAGTACCAAAAAGATAACTTGATAATCGTTTCTTAGGATGGGCACTCTGCTAGCAGAAGGGGTGAAAAAGTATTTGAAGCGATCTCGGGACAAAGAAGACTTACACCACCAGGTAGCCCTTTCGGATTTTTTACGGTAACAATTTGTTGGTGATGGGTTTTCGCTATTTAGTCATCTAAGCGCAGACATCTTGCGACAATTACAAATTCAATCGCATTGAATAGTGGCGCAAAAGACAATATGACTGGCGATCGTGCGCAAAATTCAAACAAAGCTGTAAAACGCACAATCACACGAAGAAAGTTTCGAACAGGAACGACAGGAGCGACAGGAACGACAGAAACGACAGGAACGACTTTGCGAGCATCCAGGTCTAGCAAGATGATACCTTTAGTCTCAGGCACAACAACGTTGCCAGTACAAGTATCACTGCAAGGTAAAGTTGGTGCAACTGCTCAGGCTGATTTTACACCGATACGTCAAATCCCTTCGACACTAACTCCAGCTTTAATAAAAGCTCAAGAGGGCGACATGCCGTCGAAAATTCCAACGCCATGCGCAAGCAGACTGTCTGCGCCTGAACCAATAACAGACCGACAACACACAACAACACATTTGGGATGTAATTTAGATCACCTTGGAGAGAGCAATACATTGCTCATGAGTCAAATGGAAGCCATGGCTCAACAGATTGTACATCTTCGCGAACAAAATCAGAAGCTAAGCTGTGAACACCAGCAATGCAATTTAAAGCAAAAGGTTACCATGACAGCAAAAATGGATGCTAATGCAACAGACACGGCAACGCAAGACATCAACCGGCACAGACTTGCCGAACAACTAGCAAGTCAAGAAAAAGAGCTGAAATGCTTGCAAAATTGGCGAAAGTCATCAATATTTCAAATTCAATCCCCACAAACAACGTTTCAAAGTGCAAAGATCAATTCGCTCCTATTGATAGGGCAGCAACAAGCCACTACAGCTGTCGCGAAAACGCCAGACGCTGAAGCAAACGACGAGATAAGATGTTCGCGAAGTGAGAAAGCCGCTCAT